CTCTGGGTGGGGTGTGGAAGTCCCTGCGCTCAGAATTCAGTCTCCTTACATCATGCAGCTAACCCTTCCGATTCCTACCCCCCATGTAAATTGCTATCTGTTTCTATTTATTTAATCTCTCTGTGGATTCTCATGCCAGTGCCACGCTTTAAAAATAATTATTAGAGCTTTAAAATATGTAATTAACGTTCTCACAAGTTTTCTCATTATGGTTTTTTTTTTTTCCTGCTGGTCTTTGTTCAAGTTAAGCAATTATCTCCATCTACTTGTGGGAGAAATGTCTTCAGATTAAGGATTTCCCATCACCATATCCCTAGGATTACCCCACTGCCTGACCATTCTCCCTGGACTAGGTCTATTTTACAAGCTCTTTTCCAAGAAGAAAAATGAACTTTCTGTAGAAATCCATGTCCCTTGCGAATCTTCTCTCCTTACCCATTTTTGGCCAGTATAACATCATCTTTATTTGCAAATAAATTGTCAATTGGCTCAATTAAATCTAAAACAGAGAATTGGTCATTTAATCTCGTTACAAAATATAATGGCATTTGTTTCTTAGGTCTCTACTGAAAAAAGCACAATTTCAGTATCATAATTCTACCAAAGTCTACACAGCAAAAATCTGTTCTACCATTTGAACTTGAACTCTGTCCGCATTTGCTTGAGGGGAGATACCTAATCTTTCAAATAAAAAGACCTTTATCTAAAACTCAGCACACTCCTGGCTTTCACGTTGGTAGATAAAGACTTCCATTTTGTTTCCTTCCCCAAGGAAAACATTTTTCACCAAAAAGAGGACTCACCCTGGCTGGAAAAAGAAAAAATAAGTCCTTAAGTCTCTGTCACCATCTGTGTCTCTCTGTTTCTCTCTCTCTCTCTCTCTCACACACACACACACACACACACACACACACACACACACGACACCACAGGCCAAAAGACAGTAATAACTCACATCCCATCCAGTATTGCTCATCCAAGAGACCTTGGTTGTTCTCAATCTCAGTTTTGTCTGGGCTACTTTACCTTTGAAAGGTTGTTGAGATTTCTAATTGTCATTTGAAAATCCTCAATAGAAGCTTTCTCCCTTCTTCCTGGAGCCCAGCCCTTCGCCAACCCTCTGACATTACGGGGCCTGCTGCTCAGGTGTGAGCCCCAGGCAGCACAGACACCTGACTGGTTGGCAGCTCTCTCTCTGCCTCATCTGCAGGGCAAATGTGCTCACTGCAAGCCCCATTTCACCCTCCTCCCAGCGGAGATTCAGTGGGTTTAACCACCCACCCTACTCTAAGCGTGAGTTCTGAGCATCCTCACTCTGTCAGAGGAACCCTTTTCTCTCTCTAGCTTGCTTTGTGGGGCATGGAGGGTATGTGATTGGAGCAGGTCCTATCAAAGTAAAGCCTAGGACTTGAGCTAGATTATTTGGGTGAGAGATGCCCTGTTTATTTTCCTAGAAATAAATAAGGAAGCATGTAGCCTTAGACGCTTGCAATTACCATGAGGGGACTCAGCCAGGTGGTAAAGCCAACCTCTGCAGAGAATAGCCCCCAGGGCCATGTGTGCCTGGAACCAGAAGTCCAACTTCCCTTAGTATATTTCAATTCAATAAGGTAGTGAAATGCCTTTATTGTGTAAGCCACTTAGAAATGGGTTAACTTTTCTTGAAACTGAAAATATCCTAAGTGACATATCAAACCACCTCTGACCCCTAAGAGAAGACTCACCTCCCACGGGAGGACCGGGCAGGCTTTCCTCAAGAACTCAAGTCCAAACCTCATCTTCCCCTGCTTCCCTTGCCCCTGTCAGTGTTCAGTTTCCACTTCTAGTGGCCTTTTTTGACTTGTTTTTCAAAAATTTCAGAATTTCTTAAAATTTTAACTTAAATTTTAATTTACTTCATCAATGCATATTCACAAACCAGACAGTTAAACAGTTCTTGAAATGAGAAGCTCCCATCCTACCCTCCTGCCCCGACTTCTCACCCTAGGTTATCCTTGTCCATTATTTTCCCAATTGATAAATTATATGCTTCTCCCAATATTGATAATTTTTCACCTTTAGTTGTTATGCATTTGCTGTGATGGAAGAAGGAAACTTAGATTTCTTAGGCCTCTCCCATGAGTACACCCATCCTCTCCCCTTGTTTCTTGAAAAACATTTTATCACAGTATTTATCCATAGTAGCCCCTCTCCTCCAAGGGGAGCATGTTCCAAGGCCCTCTGTGGACTTATCATACACTGGTCAGGCTGTATCTATTGCAATTTGAAGTACAATTGCAAAACTAAGGAAAAACTTTCTTTTTCCTTCCTCACAATTTTATGGTTAGAAGACTTATTCTCACTGTAGATCTTAGTAACTTCATAATACAACTTTTTTCTTCCCTTTTAAGTCTACAACTTTCATCTTTTCACTTAAAGGAAGCACTTTACAGCTTTTCTTTGGCATATCTGAGTTGCCAATATTGGTACCCTTGTGTTTTGGAGGCATTACTAAGTAAGATAAAGGTGACTTGAACACAAGCACCATAATACCAGGACAGTCAGTCTGATCCCAGACATGGCTATGGAATAACTCACAGGTGGGTATAATGCTGCATGCAGACGCCAGACAAAGGGACAAGTCACATCCTGGCCAGGACAGAGTGGGGTGGCATGAGATTTTATCACATTACACAGAATGTCACGCAATTTAAAAACTAAGAATTGTTTATTTTCTGGAATTTTCCATTTAATATTTGGGCCATGATTGACCATGGGTGACTGAACCTGTGGAAAGTGAAACTGCAGATGGGGATAGACACTACTGTGTTTACATTATTCTCTAGGTCAATATTATTTACAACTGAGTCATGTAGTGTACTATGGTTTTATATTCCCTCTCTTATAAGACAATTTATTTTCCCTTAGCATTCAGTATCAGCAGTCTTTTCAATTGTATATTTTTCTATGTATTTGTCACTAGTTCATCCCCAGCTCTCCAAGAGAAATATAACTCCCTTTTCATTAGCTTATTTTCTTTTTCCTATTTTCTACGCATCCCTCCCAGAGCCCTTTAAAAGGTAGCCCCAACCTGAATGTATTGCTTTCTGAATCTACTATATACCAACATCCTGAGAGTCCTCTTCACCTTTCTCCGGTGATGGATTCCTAGATTCCTAGCTGCGGTGTGTTCCTCTGTTTTGGTTTACTCTTTTATTTTGAGGGAACACATCCTTCAGCAGCTTTCTAATAAAAGTATAAAGGTGATAAAAATGTTGAGACCTCTTGTACTGAATCAAATGTCCCTATCTACCCTCTCATTTATCTGTTGGTGTCTTTCATGTTAAGGCATTTTCTTCAAATGTGTAGTGGTGATTGACAGCTATTTATAATTCAGAGTGAGACTCTAACAGGTTGATCAGATGCTCTCTGGGCTCTCTGGGAGTGGAAGGGCTAAGTTGCATTGAGGGTTTCACTGTCAAATGGGTAATAGGGCAGAAACGAGATTTTGTGTTGGAAAATTCCCAATTGTATATCTGTTAGCCTTTTTTTCTCACACTGGGCAGTGTCCCCCATAGGAAGATCCTAGGGTCCTGTTGTGACAGGGTATGATTCTGTCTGTCATCATTCTAGCAGCTAAGGGAAGGGCACTGGGGTTTTTTAGTATGAAGAAGGGCTTAGTCTCTTCCTAGCTTCAGAGTACCATTTCCTTTCTGCTCTCCACTGGGCCTGGGTAAACAACCCCAAAGAGAAAACCTTACTTTTCTTGCAAGAGTGGGGTAGAGGGCCCCATATTCAGAATTTCAGCCAATATTCCTGGAGGTTTACTAGGGTAATAATGGGGAGAGCACAGACAACACTTCTGCATGGAGGTTTTTAAGACTTACTAGATGTGTGAACTTGAACAAGTGTCTTAATTTCACTGCACTTCAGTTTATTCCTCTGAAAAATGGGAACTCAGAGCTTTGGTGTGATTGTTAAATGGGATTAATAAGTGCACAGGGCCTCGTAGAGTCTTCCCAGCATGAGGAGGACACTTATTTGTTGACAGTACAGTGTCATGGTGGTAGCAGTGGGTAGTGTTCTTAGCCTTGTCTCAGTGGATAGAATGGGGCTTTGGATAAACTATCTATCTAGTGTGTTTCTATACTCTCTCAAAGGGGAGGCAGCATCACCTTCTTCACATTCTGCTGAACCGCTAATGGAGTTTCAGAGGTACGCCAACCTTTGCAACTTGCCTTCCACCTTTTCCTTGAGTGCTCAACCCAAACCCTTAGAGCTACTTCTTGGATTTTGGCTACCATCCCATGGATTAAAGGGAAGGAATGAGAATTGCAGTGAAATCAGTCAAACCCAGTCTCAAAGTAAAATTGAGATAAATGTCCATGCCCCTACAACCCCAATTCTCCCCTCTTCTATGTAAAATTCCTCGATTATAGGGAAACGCTGCACGGCTTCCTCCTACTTTGCCCATCCTTCTCACTCCTCTGGCAAAGAGAGGCAAAGGTCTTCTCTCTTCACAGTAAAATTCCTCCTCTCCCCTATTTATAACCAGCTCTCTCTGGCCTCAAATTATACCCTGTCTTTTCTCTCACTGCTCCTACTTGGGACCATGGCTCTGTTTTGTCAGAGGCAAGCCTTTGTCTTTACAGTCTTGTTCTTATCTGCTCTGGGGCCTCCTGCAGCTTTGCTGGGGGGAACTTGGGGCTGCCTTAAAGTTAAGGATTTGTGATGCCTGATGGGCCACAGATCTAACACAGAATCATTATGCTCTGCATTTTCTAACCAGTCTGACATTTTAGCCTGTGAGACTTGAGTAGGGACATTCCCTTATATCTTCCTCATCAAGACTCAATCACTGAAAATACACCTAATAAGATTTTTGAAGTAGGTCTTATTATCAAAAGTCACAGTCAATTAAATGTTGAGAATTGATACTTAATGGGAATGATGTAAATAGAAAACTATTTGGAGACTGTGAGTGATGGAAGGTGGACACAAGGATACAAAAACAGGCATCACCTTACACTCTTGTTTCGTTTTTCAACCACACACAGACAGAAAAGTTGCACTTCATCTTTGCCTTCTGTGAATGTTTTCTAAGTGCAGCTCTTAATCTGTCCTTAAAATTCTCCCCAGCAAAGTAATAGAGCAAAGGATTAAGGCAGCTATTGGCTGCTGCCAAGGCCAGTGTGACAGTCACAGCTTTATGCAGCCCTTCTTTGCATATACCCACTTTCCATGAGACCAGGTGGAGGGTCCTTAGCGTGTGGTAGGGCAGGAAACACAGAAGGAAGATGATCAAGGCAATGATGATGGTGGTCAGAGCCTTCCTGTGAGAAACTCGTAGCCCTGCTTCTGGGACCTCCACTTTTAATAGGGCTCGAATAATCATCAGGTAACAGATGCTGAGTGTGAAGAATGGAAGCAGGAAGCCCATCACCAAGGCAACATAGTTCATGATCTGCAATTCAGTGATTTTACTGACATTCAGCTCTAAGCATAATGTAACATTGCCCTTCTGCTCAGAGCCATTCTTCAGGAGCACTGTTGGGGAAGCCATCATGAAGATCCATATGATCCCACACAGGATCCAGGCGCTCCTGATGCTGGAGATGTGGAGAAGCCGAAAAGGGTGAACAGTTGCCAGGAAACGCACCACACTCAACACAGTCAGGAAATAAATGCTGCTGTACATGTTGACATACAAGGAGTAAGACATAATCCTGCAGGCCAGGTCCCCAAATATCCAGTTAGAGCCTCTAAGGTAATAGTCAACCCTGAAGGGAAGCGTGCTTATGAACAAGAGATCCGAAATGGCCAGGTTCAGCATGAAAACATTCACAGATGTAGTCTTCTTGTAAGGCTGCAGGAAGACATATATGGAGAGGCCATTTCCCAAGGTTCCTCCAACAAATATTATCAGGTATATAACTGGGTAAAACTCTCTTTTAAAGTTTTCAACTGTGCAATTCTCGTTCTTGTTGTTATTGTTGTCATTGTTGTTGTTGTTGAAGGTGCTATTTGGTTCCATTTCTGATGTGGAGATGAGTGTAGGCAAAAACATAAGTTTCTTTCAGGTCTGGGTTAAAAAGAAACAGACACAAAAAATTACTTTCCTTTTTTGTTGTTTATCACGGATTATATCTTCCTAAGTTTTAATGAAATAAGGAGAAATACTAGTTTTTCTTTGAAGATGAGTTAAGAAAATATTGGCTAAGTTTATTTTATTTTATTTTATTTTTTGCAGTTTTTGGCCGGGTTTGAACCCGCCACCTCCGGTATATGGGGCTACTTCTTTGAGCCACAGGTGCCACCCCAGTTAAGGTTTTACTATATATGCCATTACATTTAATAATAAATGTCCTATTTTGTAGAATGTAGAGTAACCACTGATTTGTTTGGTGAAGCCAGGGCCTCAAACTTGGAGAATTTGTGGCCTAGTGCCCATATTCACATGGGTGCCTCCCTGTGATACTCTAGCCTAAATACTGGAGAACAGATTTCTCATTTGAAAGTATTGAGGACAGAAGGAAATGGCACATTTCTCAAGTGCTGAAAAAAAAGACCTGTCAACCTAATATCTTATATCTAGCAAAAATATCCTTCAGATATGAAGGAGAAATTAAGATGTTTTCAGATGATAGAAAACTTAGAATTTCTTTCCAGCAGATAGATCTTAAAAGAATGACTAGAGGAAGCTTTATTTATTTATTTATTTATTTAGAGGAAGCTTTTTAAACAGAAAGGAATCAGTAATAGAATGCACCTCAAAACATTAGAAAAGAAAAAAGAAAATGGTAAGCAAAAACACAAATAAATACAATAGTTTTTCCTTCTCTTTTTGAGTCTAAGTTTTACTGGATGGTTGAAACAGAAACTATAATACTCTCTGGTGTGGTTCTAAATATATATAGGGAGTTATTTAAGATTATTATATTATAAATGAGGGGAAATAAAGAGATATAAAGGGAGGTAAAGTTTCTACACTTCTCTTGAACTGGCAAAATGATGATGCTAACAGACTGTGATAAATAATATATACATAATGTGATACTTAGAGAATCCAGTGCTTTATTTTGATTTTAGCTCTGACTGTAGATAATTACTCTTTGTCAATTCCAGAGACTCAAGATCAGACCAGAGCCATCATCACCCACCCTCTAGCTCTCGTGGGCTCCCCTCCACCTAAAACTGCACACCATCCAGGCCAGAACCTGTGTGCTTCACCTGTCCTCACTGAAACACAAATGTGCATGCTTATCCCTACAGCTGGCACAATTTCACCAGGGATGATCTGGAATTGCAATGGCCACCTTGGGGAACTTTCAACATAAACAAGATTGTTTACTTGAGAATCACTTTATTTTTTTATTTTTTTATTTTTTTTGAGACAGAGCCTCAAGCTGTCCCCCTGGGTAGAGTGCTATGGCATTACAGCTCACAGCAACCTCCAACTCCTGGGCTCAAGCGAGTCTCCTGCCTCCGCCTCCCAAGTAGCTGGGACCACAGGCGCCCGCCACAACGCCCGGCTATTTTTTGGTTGCAGCCGTCATTGTTGTTTGGCAGGTCCGGGCTGGGGATTCGAACCTGCCACCTTAGGTGTACGTGGCTGGCGCATTAGCCGGTTGAGCTATAGGCGCCGAGCCGAGAATCACTTTAGAAGAAAAAGTGAAGAAACTTCCAGAGAGGCAAGCTATTGCCTTGTGTTTCTAAGAGAGATTCTTTTGTTTAAAGTTGGAGATATCCCCTCCTCTATGTCCATAATTTGGCTTTTAATAAGTGCTGTCTTTTAAGTTAGATTAATTGATAAAATCTCTAAGGGTTTAAGCCAGTTTTTAACATCACATTTTTAATGTTATATTTCAAAATCTGTTTTTCTACACGTAACCTTCTTTCTTCTCTTTTCAGAGGGAACACAACAAGCCTTTTCGGTGCTAATTTCCTATTAATCTGAAGTAGACTCCCTTCCCTTCTCTTTCTCTCTCATTTTTTTCTCTATTCCCTCTCTTCTCTTCTCCCTTCCGTTTGAAATTAATGATTACCTTATGAAATAAGCCTTTTACTTTCCATGTGCATGTTCTAGGAATACTGACAAACAATGAAAATGTCTGAAAGAAAGAAAAAGTTAATACATCATATTTCCTTTCGTGGGCACTAAAAGTATATTTATATAATAGCCTTTAATATGATTATTAAGAAAGAAGAAAAGGGATTATCCTCAAGGTAAAAGAAGACTAAATTTTTGGCATGAATTAGAATCTTCAAAAAACTAATTTAATGTGAAAACTAGCATCAACATAATATTTTGATATATAAAAGCCTAGATTTTTTTGTTGTTGTTAATTAAATTAGATTTTCTACATTGGTTGTACGAGTTAAACAAAATTCCAGGATCTCCATGACTTTTTACAATTTAAAATTGTACACAGAGTATTGTATGAATGATAATAATGATTTTCAAAGGCTTAGTTTTCTCTAATTTTTACAATGCTACAAATTATAAGGATTTAACATGTTAACTGAAATTGCAATTTCCTGATTCTTAAGTAACTTTAAGATCTTAGGCAAATAATTCACTAATAAATAATCTTTGGATGCCTAGATAAATTCTAAGTAAGAACAAACACTGGTTGTTAAATATAAATTTTTAATTTATTTCATAAAAATGGCAATATTATTTACTTATACATCAAACTTCTTTAAATTGTACAAAATAAATCATAGTAGACAGGAAAACATTTAAATAACTTTGGTTTTCTCTCTTCGTTCAAGCCTGAACGGGAAAGTTGATTATTTTGATTAAAGATGATAATTAATATATATGGTTAGTACAGAGAAATATAAGCATGTATATAGAATAATAAACTGGTTTCTGTTTATTTATTAAGAAAGTTAGAGAAGTTTTCTCAGAGTGCAAATTTGTTATGATACACACATTATTTTATTCAGTAGGTTTAATTTTAAAGCTATAGTTAATATTTTAATTTTATTACCTATTTATGTATTTACATATCTGGTATGCATAATGCATACATGTAAAGGCATATCAATAAATTCTTTACTGCAGACTGTCACATGAATAATGTGCATAAAAAAGTAAAATTAGAATTCAGGTCTTCTTAACATAATATAATAAGTTATTTTATGTCCATATTAGTAAAAATTTCTTTTTGTCAATAAAATATTCCTTTAACTTTTAGTGCTTTTGGCACTTTAAAATAATTTTTTGAAAAATTTCTTGTTTGAAAAAAATTTCTTAAAAACTATTGTGGTGTGTTCTTACAGTGTCGCCTAAATTATTTCTCAACTGTAGACAATTATGACTTATATTTTATCTCCTTAAACAACAATTTTTGGCTTTCCCTTTCCAAATTTAGGCCTCAAATTTGTAATAATCAAACTATTAATATTTATTTTTGTGTCTAAACTATCTTTAAGTTTACAATAGTAGTTATCGGATAACACAAAATTTGTTTTTTCATCTTATGGATAGAGGGACAATGGGAATAATTAGATTTCAAAATATCCTTTGAAGTTTAATTAATTTAAAATGACTATGAGAGCTCTTTTGTTTATCCAAAGAGTGATAAAAAGCTGATAAATAAAAAGTTGATTTTTTCCAAGTTAAGCTTTTAAGTTTTCAAGGATTATATACTTTTTTGAGTTAAAACAACCGTGTTCACATTTAAGTATACAGTACTATAATAACTATGTCTCAAATAGCTTTTTCCCCCAGCATTCTAAAATCACAAACCTTTTTCCCTCTTTCCCTTTTTGTCATACAACCAGTTGAGGCTCAATCACATGGGCATCATCAGAGATTTATTGTTTATTTCAGTCTTTCCTTAGACTTAGCAGCTGCACCATGACATGGCTGTCCTGTGTAAGAACTATAGCACATACAGTGAGGCGTGTGGACCACTAGTTCTATGGTCTCCACCAAACTTAATAATTTTCCTGCTGTTTTTAATCGATAGAAAAAACTTGGAATTTTCCAGCTAGTCACCTTATCTCTTATGAAATTGTGTTGGTTTCCCTTCAAATATCATCAAACATTATAGTAACACACTAAACCTAGCTCCCGTCCTTCCTTCATCTATAGAAAAAGAAGCCCACCATTGGTTATTTCTTCCCCTTGCATGGGCCTTCTAGAGTGTCTCTTGGATATCCCCAATTTAATTTTGCTTGTTGTTGGTTCATACTAAAAGAGAAATACTCAAAGTTTCCAAGTAGGCTATGCTTCAGTGACTTGAATTTATCCTAAAATATAAGCTTTTCAAGAAATAATATAAGTTCAAATGGCTGAATTAATTGCCTTCATTTAGACCTGTCTGCTAGAAAAAGATTAAAGAACAAATACTTACACAATGATATAAAGAATATGATTTTAGATTAGTCCATGAATTCAAAATGCTTTAGAAATAAAGAGATCTCTTGACACTATAAGAATGCCTATAAAATAGACAAAATTAAAGAACCTTGAGATGCTTTGCTGTTGCCTAAGGAGACACCTACAGTAAAAGCAGAATTTAGCACAACTGCTTCGTGATATTTCTACAATAGCAGAGATAAACTAGCAATGATATTAAACCAGCATTTCTGGTGTGATTACAAGGCTATTGCCAAGGATGTCCGAATAGGCGCCCTGTTCATGTCAATACAATCCCAGGTAGAACACAGACAACCAAAGCCTCAAGGCTTCTCTGAACATTTCCCAGCAGGTCTGTTAATATGTCCTGGCATTGTTTACTCACAGGGTGTGTTAAGACTTTTCTTTGCTGAGTAGCTATGTCTGTGATGGTAGAAAAAAATTGATTAATTCTGTATGTGAGTTACCAATTTGGAAATCCCAACTTGCCTTTCTAGTAATAGAACCACACATTTTACTCTTCCAATTAATAAAGAACTCCAGAGTCTAACTTTTACTTAAAAACTTTGCTGTTCACAAACATCAGTGAAAGTATCGAGAATTGAAGGAATTCTAGAACTCTCAATTTTTTCAGTGGCCTAAGTATTCCATCTTGATAAGATCAGTCTCCTTCAGGACTCACAACTCATCTCCGTCTGAGTTTCTAAGAG